AAAAAATTAGGAAACCCATTGTATTTTAGCAATTTTTTTTTGTCAATACTTAGCATTTTGGTTTACAAGGTACTCAATTTATACGAATTAGTATCATTAGAATCAACATTGCATACAAACTCAGATTTCAGTTTTAAAGGTATTTCATAAACTCAAGGAGGTGTGCAAAACATTCCCCTCCCCCCCAAAAAAGKTTATTTTACCTTCAGGTTATCGTTTTTTCTATCATTGTTGTAATTTTAGCTTTACATTAAATAAATTATATAGATGAGTGTGGATTGGAAGCTATGATTTTAAAATAGGATAAAGTAAATGTAGTCAGCAGTGGTTTTTCTTTTTAGTTCAAAGTGGGGGCTTTAAGTTAGTTTTATTTTATTATGAGTATAATACCCAGATATCTGAAATCAGATATTATTGGGATTTGTGTATCTCGATCTCATATTCCTATATTAAAAATTCAGCAATGGATTTTGGATAATATGTAATCATTAAATGAGAATAGTTGAGAAATTATACACTAAAAAAAATTAAATTTATTTTTGTACGCCTACATAAATAAGTTGCACCCGAGTAAATTTCCGAATAAATCATCAGAATAGAGCAAACAATTAAATATTTAAATTTCATTATGAACAATAACTTTCATTTACTAATACTGTATTTATTGTCATTGTTTTATTTTTCTATATATTAAACGGTSATATTCTTAGCATCATGCTCGAAAATTTAATAGGTAGTATGGTCATTGGTTATCACTTATCAGGTAACATTCGATTATTGAGCATTAATTAGTATCAGTTGTAGGTATGTTATACATTCGCGTAATATGCACAACCACGAGCAACATGGCAGTAGAATTTATCTAATGAATAGTAATAATAATAATAAATTATTCGGGTAATAATGAAAAATAATTTTACTTGCGACGTCTACTACTATAATCACTATCGCAGAACTTAGCTAAATGATTAATAAGTAATTGATTGTGAAAACCACACAGTAACGGTCGTCAGGTTTTGGCTGTCCGTTTGATTTTTGTGATAATTATTAKTTTGTTTCACACTTCATAATCATAATTATTTTTTCATTAAATAATATCAAATGGATAAAAATCGCTATGATGCCAATTCCGACGTAAATATATCATCCTTCGACGTAAATGACAAGACGCCGATATTAGGATCTCCGCATGACAACCGTTCTAGGTGAGTTGACAGAGACGTTTTTATACACTTTATGCTTGGAACGAGTTTAAATAGTTATCATTAAATTTAGATAAAATAAATGTTTGTTATTTTTTGATTGTTGGTTGACGTCGTTAATTTTATCAACTCAATCATAATTTTTTTATATTTATTATTGTGGTTTCTCCGTATTACATATTATTATTTAATACTATTTAATAAAACATCTTGTAATTTCGTTTGTTCCTAGCTTTTTTGCTTTTGCAGGAATATATATTTTAATTTAACATAAAAGTATATTGTTTATATTGATAATCGCCCAAAAATACTTTGTTTTTTATCATTCGAATATAGAAAGAAAAAAAAGACGGGCACGAGGATACCGCTCCACTGTAAATTTGGGTGTCATGTTTTCTACTGTTATAGATATGTTTAATTTGAAATTAACGATTAATCATTGCTTAAGAAAAAAGAGTGGGTCCGTTTTCCTTAATAATACGATAAAGTTTTACTCTTAAAAATAGATTAACTTCTTGTCCCTCCAAATATTAAACTATTCAGTCATTATTTCAGTTTTTTATTTGAATCAAACATAAATTACCAAACAAAAAGATAATTTAGATAATTATAAAATAATTTAATTGTTAATTAATTATCAAGGTAATTTATTTATATTTTTATAAAATGACTTACAAATATTATTATTATATTCTTAATACATTCTTTATTGGAGGAAAATGGAAAATGGGGAAAACGGTCAAAATTTATTTTTATTTTTTCGAGGAAATTGTGGACAGTGGAGAAATATGGTATCTCATTTAACTATAGGAAAATAACTACTGGCCAAAAACCAGTTGGGAGTGAATTTGGTACCTATAATGATTACTAAATATATTTTATAATAATATTTCTATAAAGTAATTTACTTTTCTATTGTCTATTTATACACAGTAGATTAAATTAATTTTCGCCGAAATTAATGCATTTAATTTGATTGATTATAACTGTTTCGGAGACTGAAGTCATTGGTTATTACAAATTTTACATAGTTATACATTTAGGGATACATTGTTAGTTGTTACACTAAGTAGAGACATGTAACTATATAGTATGGAAAAGAGAAAACGTATTTGAAAAATATATTGTGATTTTAAAATATAATGATATACCCAATTTAAATGTTTCATTCAATATTATTAAATTATAATCAAATATCTAAAAAAATTTTTTTTCATTATTCTTCGTCTAAATATCTATGATTTTGTCATAATTATCAAATGTCTTTAAAAAAAAACCGTATTAATTTAATTTTTTGATTATTTGGTTACATTGGCTCGTTAGGAATCTTGTATTACATTTTCCAGAATTTCGACCAAACGAATATTTTTTTATCGATAATTATAGATTATATATTTCAAATGTTTATAAATAGCTTGAAAAGAGAAAACAATATGTTTCAAAAATTATTAAATGCATAAAAATGCTAATATTCGGGAAAAATTTCATGTGATTATGATTCTTTACGATTTGCAATAAAATAAGATAATTAAGATTTCATTATGCTTCATTATTCCTTCAGACATCCATCACATTAACAGAATATCACAAATTAATTTGTCTTTGACAAGTTTCAAATMATTTCGTATGATATTTATATCTCCAATCGTTCTTTTAAAATGTTTAGAAAATTGTGTAGTGTTTATGAACATAAATAAATTCTACCCATCGGTATTATATTTTTACATGGGCACAAGTCAACTCCGCCAGAAAAAAAACAGATAAAAATATGTTCATATAATCTCCGCCAGTGCCGTATCTAGGCATTGGCAAGGTGGGCGGTGGCCAAGGGCGCAGTTTAAAATGATCGCACTAGGGGCGCAATTTTTATGTAATTTAAATACTAAAAATTCATTATAAATTTATAACATTGGTTGGTTGCCAAGGGCGCACATAAAGCTAGTTACGGTACTGATCTCCGCCAGTGAAGAAAATCAAGTAGCCGTATAAAATTAATACTATTTATTATTTTAAAAAAAATCATAATTTTAGTATTAGTTCACATTAAAATATAATAGTTAGGTAAATAATGAATATTAAATAAAATATATCAAAAACAATCCAAAAGTAAATCAAAATTACAAACCGCTAAGAGTAAACAATTTATATAATATAGTTAGATAATATAAATTCATAATTTTCATAAGAAATAATCGTTATAAGTAATAATAATCCAAATATATGTACGTAGTTATAAAATGTTATACAATTTATTTCATATTTCTGCTAAATTTATAAAAATAAACTTATGTTGTGTAAACGCCATTGTTGTCACCATGTTACTTATAATAGTCTTGAAAAAATGAAAACATTATTAGTTTACGCCTGGTATATTTTATAATTTAAACTCGTTGGCTTACGTCCAAAATTCCAAATAAAAACAACAAAGCTAAGGAACTACCTATATACAGGCATATGGCAAGTTGATATTCGACAGTAATTTTAATAAACAATTTCTATTTTCGATATAGTTCTTATTAATGAAGTTTCTGCAACATAAGACTATACAGTATATATTGCAAAACTAATTTAATTTGCTTTGAACAATTCAGTATTTACCTATGAAAAATAAATGTACAACTGGCCGCTTATAAGAATCGACGTTATTAACATGATATTATTTTTATTAAAAACAAAACAATAGGTAATAATTAAATAATTAATGTTTTATACCGTCGTGCATTTTTATTAACCTATAAGACATTGAGTTTTTTAAATGATGTGAACATTCACGTGATAAAATTACATGTTGTGAAAAATACACGTGGCATATTTTAGATTCATTTTATCAGTCTTGGACCTGATCTACCTTGTAAAAATTACAAATAATATACCTATACTTACTCAAATGTTGTAGTCAACTAATTAAATGACCAATTATTGATAACCCGATTGATTGATTTGTTTAACAAAATATTTTATCTTATTTATTGTGTTCCCCTACAGAATATCACCATAACTATAAAATATGTTTAAATTGGTACAGCCGGTACAGGTACACAGATATTTTGTACATTTGATTATGAAATGACTTGGATACTTATTAGTAATAAATTATTACAGAATTGTAATATTTGACTATTTTTATAACAATTAAATCTGTTTTTTTTTTTTTACTACAAAACACCAATTCTACGAAAAACCTAATTAAAAACTAAAAAGTAAATTGTATAAAATTTGTCCATTCATTTATTGTACAAATATAGTAACTACCTACTTAGCTGTAATTTATRTTAATATGTATACTTTTGTAGTTTGGCATGTTATTACGTGACTATATAACACGTATAAGTACAAAGTGCAATTATTGTAATCGATTAGAAATATTAATGTTCTAATTATACATTGATAACACCACATACTAACGAAAATAATCAATTCCCTATTTTCTTTTCTTTTAGACGAGTTTCAACAATATGAGTTGTATCTACATCTTAAATTGATTCTGAATTTTTTTAATAATTCCTATTATTAGCAATTATTTATATCATTTAAAAACTGATTTATTCATATAACTCAATGTTTTATTTTGAATTAAATTTAAACAAGATATAATAAAACTATAAAAGTTTATTTTATGGGTTACATATTTTATTACAATTTTTGTATTATATGAATTTAAAGAAGATACATTTCGCATGAATTATTTAAACACCTAAATATCCTTTTTTATTATAATTCTTGTAGGTAGTTTATTTCATCATATACTATTATTTGATTATGATATTTGCAATTATGACTTAGGTATAATAATAATTTGTTTTTTAAACTTCATCATAATGCATTATTTTGAAATCAACAGTTTTGTACGTATAAGCAATTGTAGAATTAGAAATTTTTTTTTAAATGTATAATGATAACTTATAACTAAGTCGTATATTGTACAATATATTTATAGTTTATTATAAAAAATTGGTTTAATATTTCATAGATACTTATTGAAAATTAATTTATACGGCTTGACTAAAGAAAAGTTGCGCGTCGTACCTGTGTATAAAATTGACAGTTTTAAATGCTCTTAACTTATTTGAAAATTAAATATCAATAAAAACCTAAGCGAAGCTTCAGATAATATTTTTACCTTTACTTGTAAGTTTCACATCAGGTGAATTCATTCTATAGTGTTGAAAATTATAGATTAATATGGATTCTTCTGAACGTAAAATGTTCTACATTATGCGTTGGTAAAACGGAGTCAACTACAACTGTCAACACATGAGGGTACAACATCTTCTTAATTAGTAATTTAAATACGAAAATTAATTGTAGGTATATTGATAGTAAATATAATTATTTATACTATTATTTATCCACGTTTTCATTTGTACTACCAGATTGATAAATATATTAATTGAAAATTATAGTTTATGTTTTATTCGTTATTTAGTATAGATTATAGGTATAATAGGTAAGTATACTCTAGACTTTAGATGGTGATAAATATTATAATTATTGTATTATTATTTGTTACTGTATGTATTTTATACATTTCTATATATTACTCGTTGAAAATTTAAATCGATCTTCTTGTGGCTTATTAATAATTTCATAATTATATTCAGATAACATACAATTTTAACAATGAACATTGAATTTGGTTTCTCCCATCCCATTACAACTACTACCTAGCAACCTAGCTTAATACTTTTAGGTTCATTGAATATTAATGAATTACTATACCTAGGAAGAAATTAAATTTCTGTCTCGCACTGTAGTTAATTTTTTCATTTTTTGACTATCCAATACCTATTTAATATTTATATAGTTTTATAATTAATCCATATGTTATATTTTACGTTTATTTAATAAGTTAATAATAACGCGTACCTCTTTCAATGATATTGTTATATTATAACTTCAGACTTTTAAGAAAGAGGTTTTTAATTGTAAATACATATAACATTTTAAATTTAGATTTAGATTATATATACATAATATCAAAATGTATTCTTCAATGTTAATTGGATTTATCACTTAGTTTATACTGATAAATGCACGATTGACCCGATTACTTGTTGATTACTTATTCCACCTATGGATTTGAAAAAAAAACCAATATATGGTTCTATTTCCACTCCATGTATGATCGATTATTTTTTGAACTAGACTAATTGGACCTATAATTAAAATTATGTAACACATTCGACATTATTTAAAATCATTAATTATTGATTATTCAAATAAATAATTATTGAATTTCGTTTTTTTAATAAATGTTCGCCCAAATTACTCGATATTATTATTCAAAACTTATTTCTATGTACTTAATTTTGTTCAWTGATTATAATTTTTATTTAATTTATCAGGGTAGCCTACTAGGTAGCCTGATAATTTTTGGTGTACATACTGATTTTAGCACAGATTTATTAGGGAACTTACTTACAAATTGGAACCACGATTTTATGAATGCGCACAAATCAAAAATATAAAATTATATATTGTAAATAATTGTTGTAATTAATTGTTATAACAAGAGTTTAAATTAAAAAAAAGTGCATAAGTGGGTACCTATCGCTCTGTTATATAGTAGAGATGGAGAGTAGGTCACTAACAATTCTTAATGGATGTATTAAATTTGAATACAATGACAGGTATCATTGTATATGAAAAACGATTCTGAACGGAGATGAATTGTTAGTCTAGGATATATTATATTATCTATATTTAAATTATAATATATTTTTATACGCTCACAAACTATTTTCTATATTAACTCTGGAGTTTACGGTTATTTAAGTTAAGTCAAGTTATGGAGAACCTTGTGTTAGGTTTTTTTAAACTTAGGTATCACAACGATTTTATGAATTTTCAACTTTATAATTCCATGCAAATTTTCGTGATTTTGACATATTTCGTAAACATTTTAACTTTAAATGCTTATAAACAAAAATTGTAAAGAAAGATTTTGATTTTTTTTACTACAATAAGTACAACTTATAATAAACCTTGTATTAAATTTTACAGATTTTTGGATAGCCAATTTTTTTCCATAAGCATTTCAATAAAAAAAACCTTACACTTATACTAACTTATACTCAAAATATTTTAAAAACTTAATCGTAAACAGATAACGCTAATTTAGTCAAATTCGCTTATAACGATCTTCTGGTGACTTAGGAAATTTGATAGTTTTAACCGAACTTCATTATATCCGGATCATAAACAAGTAACATGAATTTTTTAAAAATTCATTTATCAAACACATTTTTTACTTTTTAATTTTATTTAAGATTACATGTTTTAACATTCAAGGTATTTATATAAATTTTAATAAAAGTATATAATATAATATATAATATATGTTAACGATTTTTTTTGAAAAATAATCTATAATAGTAGTTTGCTTATAATTTGGAATATTTTTAGATCGTTGTATTTTGAACCATTCCAAGAGAGCCTGATCGACGACTTGATGTTGGCTAAATTGTAATCTTTTATTAGATGTCACGTCTTTTGAAAAACGCTTTTTATTTGGTCTTTTGATTTCCATATGGTAGATAGTGTTGATTGACTGATTCCTAGCTCTTGGCAAAGATCTTTATTAGAAACACCACTTTCTAAACGTTCAATTATCTTCACTTTTTCAGCAATAGTGAAACAGTGTTTTCTTTTATTTGACATTTTTAACTTAATCGGAACGTGTCTAAACGGATACCAATCAAAACGGCGACTAAAGACCCGTTTTACAATCATAGTTTAAACCTCGGTTATGCTTGAACCACTGATTTTACCGGCCGAATTCCGTCGTTTAACCGGAGTTCAACTATTGTAATGCAGGCTCTAAGGGCCCGTTTTACAATAGCTAATTTAACTCGTGTTCAGCGAAACTTGGTTCATCAACTGATCTTAGTTTAAGTTATCGGCGGTTTCACAATCTCAGGTTTTTGTCGGTTCAGTTGAACTGTGGTTAATAGATAATTTTCTACAATTGATAAGGTTAAATCTTGCCTGATAAGGTAATTTATGATAAGAAATTGGTTCTCGCGTTTGTGGTTTTTCGCTTTTGAAGTTTAGAATATTGTTCTTAAATCTTAACTCCTAAATTATTATTATATAAATTTTTAACTAAGTATTAATTAGTACCTATATAACTATGTCGTATTACGAAGATGATGATGATAATTTGACAGATGACGAAGATTTCATAGAACTCGCGGTTATCGTAGCTTTTCCTCGAAAAAAAAATTTGTTTCTTGAGCGGGTAGGGTAAACCTAATAACCTAACCTAACCTAACGTATGCTGTATATATATAATACGGCCGTACAAGACACATTATTTGTTACAGATAAGATTAAGAATTATCGATAAATCAAATTTACTAYACAATGTAGGCTAGGTTAGGTTAGGTTAAGTTATTTTCCAATTTTCGTTTTAAAATGACATCGCTATATCCAGATTATTRTTATAATCGATGTCGTTATAAACCAATAAAAGTACTACACATCATATATAAAACCAACCAAATACATTGCTTGGAATCGTTTTACCCGGAATATCGTTATATAGTATACGAGTATACGTCATCGTTATATACAAATTTGACCGTATMAACATTTGGCGAAAATTTCAAGTATTTACAATGTTTCATTTTTGAGTTAAAGCAAGATAAAAAAATTGATTTCGTCAAAACTGATTATTCGATTGAATGATATTTGGGCCTAACACTTTTAATTAAGCCTATCTTCTGACCATAGATCTAATATATCTCTGTACCAAATTTCGTAGCAATTGGTCCAGCCGTTTAGGAATGCATAAAGGAAAAATACACAGACAGAAATCCATTTTTATATAAGGGGTCAACAAATAGCGGCCAGCAGATAAGAAAAAAAACTAAAAACTGTTAATATTTTCCTAACACCAGAAGTGTAATTTATCATTTTTGTTCATCGGTTTTCATTGGCGTCAGCAATTTTTATGGCTTGCGAATAATTGCGAATAATTTCCAGATCATCGATGTTTGTGTTTTTTTTCTGTCATTAATCACCTTTTAGGGCAGTAAAAATGCTTAGATTTTCCACTTAAATATATTTTTTGGTAGGAAAGTGAATTTAGATTTTGTTTATTTTTGATAGGGAAAGAGAGTCAAAAATAAAACATTCCCAGAAATTTTCAAAAGCAATAGAATCAAAAAAAAAACAAAATTTTTGCAAAATATTTTTGGTTTAACTCAAAAAAAAAAAATACTTCAAATTTTCAAAATATTTTAACAATTTTTGAGCTATTGATAGGCATGAGAAAATTTTAATTTGTTTCTATGAGTAATGAGTATTGAAGAAAAGTTTTTATCTAGACAAAAGCTTGACTAAATAACCAATTTAACACAAGGTTCCTCATATGTTTTTATAAAAACAATTAAAAGATACAGATACATAGACACAATTTTTATTTATTTTTTTTATTAGCATTTTAATTTTAAATTTTAACAAATTTCATAAGGCTAGGGATTGTAAATTTAAAACATAGTWCTGGTAAATAATTAGTTAACTACATACAAACAAAACTACAAAATACACAAATATATTTTAAGTATTTAAGTAAATTAATTCAATTTACGTATAATAACATTAAAATAAAATATTTTAATAGCAGCAATATCATRAAATATACTTATATTAATATAATATAAAAAAATTTTCGTTCAGAACTGTGTTTCGTACACCTACATTGATTTTTTTCTAATGAAATCAAATTGTAATTATTATTTCTCATTCTATCATACATTATTTTTTATTAAATACTTTTAATTGTATTACACCTGATAAATCAATCTGTGGAACTGTATTGTTTATTTTCAGATTACTATCAAAACGATGTGTTATTCTAGTTCTAGTTGGAGTGGTGCTATTGTTCGGTGTTTCAGTTACATCCATAATATTATACTCAAAATACTTTGGCTTCAACACCAGAACCCCTGACCCGGAATTCCCGTTGCCACCGTCAAGTATGCCAATGGGCTTGTACCATAATGTCGGTGTCGTATCAAACGGTGGACCATGTGCACAAATCGGAGTGTAATGCAAATCAATAAATTATTAATTTTAAGCATAATAATAATTTGATCAGATACAATATTTTGATTTTTGATGGCTTAAATTATCCTAAAGAAGATAGTATTTGCATGTTAACTACTTATATTTATGTACATATCTATATAGTTTTAAACAGGCGATCACGATATCGTGTGTATTACTTAGAATATCTACCTCCCTATTTATTTTCAAAATAATCTATAGAGTAAAATATTGTGAATAATAATAAACTTTCAATTTTGTTTTTATTTAAAAAAATGTGTTTTTATTTATTAATAATAAATACCATAAAACCATGTAATTTTTTTTCTACTTTAAATTTTAACTTGCCTTTTTTRCAAAACTTTCACGTTTATTACATCTATAAAAACAAATTTAGGACATTRTAGTATTTTATATTTCAGCTGTCAGTCGCATACTGCACAACCTAGAGTAAAAATAATCATACAATTTCGTTATTATTTTTTTAAGATTTCAAACATTTGAGATGCTTGTCAATAATAAATCCCTGCATTTTCGATTGTTTTTTTTAAACAGGGATGTGATGTCAAAAGGTGGAAATGCCATAGATGCCGCAATAGCTACAATTTTATGTGACGGTGTCGTATGTCCTCATCAAATGGGTGTTGGTGGAGGATTTATAATGAGTTTTTACAATGCCACAACCAAAAAAGTAATGTCAATCAATGCACGTGAAACAGCTCCAGCCGCAGCGACTACGAACATGTTTGTAAAAGATCCAATGAGTTCTATAAACGGTATGTATTACAAAAAATACAAATTTTAATCTCACATAAAGCAATATAAAYTAGATTTTTTAATTGGGAGGGGTAATGGTTGRTGGCTTTAGTTTAATTAGTACCTCTAGTTTATTCTTTGAAATTTTGAATTTGATATTATCTAATATAATTGTAAGTCTATTTATTTGTTACTCAACATATTATGCATTTGCATTAACAATATTATACCAAATTGCATTATATTATTATGTTTTGATTTCAATATAAGTTCTTTATTGCATAGTTTTATAAAATATAGTCAAAATTAAAAGCATATTGAGAATTGCCTGATTATTTTCCAAGGAAATAGTTAATAGCGAATTAATTTGATAAATATAAGAGTTTCTATATACCTATCTTAAACAAATTAACTAGACGATTTTACAAATTTAAAAAAAATCAAATACAATTATTACTGTAAATTATCTAATATACTATACAMAATTACCTTTAATTTTTTTAAATTCTTACTAAATTACAGTGTATTACTATGTACATGTGTATATGTGTGTGTAAAATAAAATGTGTTTATTAGTCGTTAAGTGTTTATAGACATTCAATATTCGTATCATAAATTAATTAATGGTTATCTACAACCAACCTATTAATAATGTAAATTCAAACATAAGTTTATTGTATATAYTATATTTGAATGATAAGGTTTCAGTGACAAACAAAAAACAAAAATTTTAAAAATCGATTGGTACCTATCTCAACTACATTATTATATCACGTTTTAATATAATTGTGAAATTTACAGTGTTTATTACAAATTAATATTATCTCAGTTACATGCAGCTAGCAAAGAGGAGTCGGGTTTTATGTATTGTTATTTCTACAAAATATATTATAGTACCTAATATATGTAAATATAATATTATTTATGGTTAAATAAGTACTTCAATATGATTTGGCAGCTTAAAAAATAGTATTTTGTGAGGGGTAGGGACGACGATATCCAAATCCCCCCCCCCGTAATTTCGCGGCTGTAAAGTTTTAAGATATGCTTATCAAAATGTACTTACATTCGTAGCTTATCAATAAATCAATAAAGGAAATTAGCATGTGTGAACAATGATTTTCAGCTATTTGCTCTTTATAAATAAGATGTCTATAAAAAATTTAAAAAGTGGACAAGTGRGTATCGCTCTGTTGTATAGTAGAGATGAAGAGTAGGTCACTATAATGGATGTGTTAAATTTGAATTCAATGACAGGTATCATTGTATACGAAAAACAATTCTGAACGGAGATGAATTGTTAATCTAASATATATATTATATTACCTACGTATATTTAAATTATAGTTAATTTTTATACGCTCACAAAATGTTTTCTATGTTGACTCTGGAGTTTTTTTTTTACAGTTATTTAAAGAAAAAGTTATGGATAATCTTGTGTTAGGTTTTTTAACCTTAGGTATAAATCACAACGATTTTATGAATTTTCTACTTCATAATTACAACTTATAATAAACCTTGTATTCAATTTTAAAGATTTTTTGGATAGCCAAATTTGTTTTATAGACATTTCAATAAAATTAACTTACGAGTATACTTATACTAACTTATACTCAAAATTATATTTT